TTTGTAACTTAATATTACACAATTTTTAATAATAATATTATAAATATAATAAATATCATATCGATATCAATTTATAATATAGAAACAATTTTCGATGGATTAAAAGTTGCTCCTGCTAAACCTCGACCGAAAGGACTCTCTCCATTCGTTAGAAGGTAATAGCTACCAGTCCTAAAAGTATTAAAATGAAATATTAAATTTAGACCAAAAAAATGTTAACTCAAACAATAAAAAGAACTAATTTCAAGAAATTTTTTTCTTTTGTTATTCATTTTATTAAACAAGATGAACTAAATTTGTTATGTTGAGAAATTAATTAAAAATTAATAAAAGTTATTAACGAATTATTAACTAACGAATTGACAGGTGTAGCATATCCCATTGGAATATATTCAACACCGCCGCATTCACTTAATGAATAACACTTTGCTATTAAGGAGGTATGATTTTTAACCGATTCCGCATAAAATTCGAAAGATCTACTGTGACTGCAAAGATCTGTAATATGTAAGAAAAACAATGAGAAAGAAAATAACAAGAAAGAAAAAAGATAAGTATAAGTTTTAACTTTTCATTTGAAAAATTAAAAAAATCAAGACTCAAAGACTTATACGAACCCATTTGCGATAATAATGGGCCGATTAACGGACAATTGGGTTGAGGTCTATGGCCATAATTAGGAAAGAAATCTACGTCTCCAGTTTTCAATGCCAGACCATACCCACCAATATCAGCGTGTATAATACCTACAAACCTAGCATCAGAAGATATCAAATGAGAATTGAGAAAATAAAACAAAGGACCGGCAGGATCTAAACCTGTAAAAAAAAATTTCACGTTTAAATATTCGAAAAATATTTTAACTCAATAACAAAACTTAAGATTTTATTAAAGATTCAATTCGTTAAATTTTATATTACAATCAATAAAATTTGTACTACAATCACATATATTATTTGTCAAATAAATCACTTTTTATTAAGTTATTAAATATATAGCTTTTTCAAGAAAATCATTAGATAGCCATTAAACTTAATGGACATTAAAAATATAAAGATTCATTATAAAGAATACCTGTT